CTGCTGAACTTTGAACACTAATGTCCTATTTTTCTGGCATCCTTCAAGGCTTACAGAGCATTTTGACTCAGACGGTATCATCCTTGTGAGGGGATGTTCCACCAATAAATGGCAACGCTGCAAATTAATTCCCACCATAAATAATGTTTCCAACTCAGGTGAATGCCAAACAACAGTAACACAGTGAAGAATCCTTTACCTACTTAAGTCTCGAGAAATTCGTAATTGGACTGATGCCTGAAAGCACATAAATGAGATGAGTGGGGCAATAAAACCTGCTAGCTCTCACCTTCTAATGCAGATTTTGTCACAGAGCCAGTGAAACGACATTTCACATATCCCAAAGATGCACTGGGGACTTCCTTCACCATCACATGACACCTACCGCGGCAAGGCGCTACTAGTCCCCCCAGTTAAGCGGCACAAACACGCAGATCTCCCCAAGTCCAGGGCGCGAGCAGCAGGTACACCCGACATTCCAACAACGGGGCCGTGGTTCGGCTCCCTCACGCCTTGCCTCTCCCATGAGTTCTAGTGCCTTCCGGTCCTGCTCTCTGTGCCTTCATTTCTGAATCTGATAAATATAAGAACTATACTCCCTCTTACCTCATACCACTCAGGGAGTCTTACCCAAAGAACAATGCACTTCTTGTCCTTGGTTAAGGGAACACGCTCATCTGCACAGTGATGGGAAACCCCTCTGAGAGGGCGTCCTTGGCTCACCTCCAGTCTCAATGCAGGGATATGATGGAGGAGGTTCTCTCCAGTTCCCACTGGAGTCTTTCATGTGAGATCGGTCAGAAGCAAAGTTCTTCAAATACGAATCTGCGCGGATCACTCTAAATTTCCTGTACATAAACCAACATTATTTATATCATAGTTGAAATTCTAACTCAATTCTCATATAGACTCATTTCCTATGACATGCACAAAACTAGACAAGCATTTCTGTACTATTAGTGACACACATATGTATGTAGCTTTAATACCTGTTAAAGACGCCATGAGAAATGATCAGCTGAAATCCCAAACTACAAAGGCATGGAAGTACAGCCGGTTGCCTTTACTTGCTCAGTGTATGTACAAGGGGCAGAGGGCGTAATGTCTGGGTGCTGCCGTCACAGCCCTCTGACTTCTATCATCGCCAGGCATCCAGCTCCGCCACCAACCAACCACCCACCCAAAATGAAGAGTATGAGAGAAATGCCCAAAACGACTGTTGGAAAATGTTCTGGATCTCATCACACAAATTTTCAAAGACTGCCAACCTTTTATACAATGGACAACCTTTAAAACTTTAAAACATTTTGAATCTTCTGTAGAGCACATGATTCTCAAACATTAACAATGGTGAAGACAAGACAAGTAATCTTTACAAAACCAATGCAAAAACAAACACACAAAGTAACTCTGTCTAATTGTCAAGGTGCAATTTCACAAAGTAGGTAAATCCACCCTGAATTTCCTCACCTTCTGAACTGTGGATGGATGTCCTCATCAGACTTAAAGGCGTCTTCCACATAAGTATCAAAGGGGCAGGGAAATGGCAGAACAGTGTCAAGATCATAAATGAAGCTCTGTCCTCCACTTGAAACATGAAGCAAGACAACATGGTAATCCTAGAAGTAAAAGTTGCTGAACTTAACCAGGTTACCTTATGATGGTATATTCCAAGGTTATAGTAATAATGCATATATATCATCAAAAACAGATACAAGGGACTTCCCTGGTGGTCCACTGGTAAAGAATCCACCTTACAATGCAGGGGACATGGGTTCAATCCCTGGTCAGGGAACTAAGATCCCACATGCTGCAGGGCAACTAAGCCTGTGCGCCACAACTACTGAGCTTGCACGCCTCAATCAGAGAGCCTGCATGCCACAAACTACAGAGCCCATGCGCTCTGGAACCCGTGCGCCACAGCTAGAGAGAGAAAACCCACACACCACAACTAGAGAGAAGCCTGCATGCCTCAACAAAAGATCCCACATGCCTCAACAAAGATACCACGTGCCGCAACTAAGACCCGACACAGCCAAAAATAAATTAAATAAATAATAAATCTTAAAAAAAAATAAAGTTGAAGGCTTAAAAACAAACAAACAAAAAACCATATACAAGACTAAGACAGCCCTCCTTATAATAGCAAAATAAAGCAAACACAAAACCCTGAAAACAGACCAAATGTCCAGTGACAGGGAACAGTCAAATAGTGGAAATGTTCATGTACATTAAATGTTCACCTTTAGATTCAGCAATTTTACCATTAGGGATCCAGCCTATAGAAAAATGGTCACATGCATGTAAAGGTATATAAACAAAGCAAATCTCTGCAGCACTGTTTATAACACTGAAAATTCAGAAACAACCAGAAGTCCACCAAGAGGGGAATGGTTAACAAACCACGATGCAACCATAAGATGGAGTCCTATGCAGCTGCTAAAGAGAAGTAGGTAAATTTTTGTGGAAACTGGACTAAGTCAATGTTACACAGTTGGATGGAAAAAGCAAATTTCAGATTATGTATTATATATTATTTTTTAAGTTTATGTGTATATAAAGACAGACATGTGCATTCAGAAGTACACATGCATGCATATGAGTACAGAAAAAAAAGTCTACGAGGATATCCTCCAAACCATTAACAAAGGGGACAGCTTGAGGTGAACGGGGAGAGGGGAAGGACTTTAAAATGCGGTTGTTATTGGTTTTAAATCAACCAAGCCCTAATCTGTAGCCATTAAGGAAGAAGAATACAGAGAGCTTCTCCTGCACAGCTGGGTCCCAGCACACATGTGAATTCTCACTCTCACTCCCAGACACGGGGCACTGCCCAAACCAGCTAAGGGCTGGAAGGGACGTCAGGGAGGTTTATCAATGGACATGAGGGCAGTGTGATGCTTAGAGCTCCTCAGAAGAAAAACGCTCTCACAGAGAACAGCACTGCGAGATAAACAGTTCAATCACATCAATACAATGTTAGAAATACCATCTGACATTTCTAGTGCTTCAGAGCTTACAAAGCACTTTCTCAAACGATGTTTCATTTGACGCTGTGAGATGGGGAACATAATTGAGACTGGAAATGTTGTACCATCAGAGCTGAAAGTGCTTCCTTTGGCTCCAGTTCTATCTTACAAATCAGAATAGCATCAGAAATGAAAGCTTATTCCCTGTCCTCCCCTTAACACATCCTACCCTCCAGATACATGAACTAAGCGCTGCTCCCCCAGTAACAGTCCACGACTCCCTTCCCCCAGGCTTGCTCACGTTACTCGGCTCCATCTGCACCACCTTCTCCTCCGCTCTCCCCACATCTATCACTCAAGCTCCGGCTCAAATGCTTTCTTCCCCATGAGCCCATCTTTCATCTTCTCCCACCCCTGCCAGAAGCAGTCTCCGCCGTATCCAAAATCTGTTTCTCTCTTGACATCTTCTACCCTATATTACAGGTTTCTTTGAAATATGTACTCCCTACTTTTTTGTGGGAAACCATGCTATTAAAATACAGATACAAAGATGAGAAAGGTAGGTCCTTACCCTCAAGGAGTTCCTAGAGAAGCGAGTGGGAAACACAAGTCAACTGCTGCAGAATGGTGAGATGATGAGTTAATTCAGCGGAGGTGGGAGAGCGTGCAGTCACAGGCGCCTGAAGCGGGGTCACCTGGCTCAGCCTCAGCCCCACCACTAGACAGCTTCCCCCTCTACAGGACGGAAATAACTGTGGTGTCTACCTCACAGTATTACACACAGTATTACTGAGAGAATTAATGAGACTACTATGTAAACAACCAGTCTTATAAAAAGCCAACCAAGGGCTTCCCTGGTGGCACAGTGGTTGAGAGTCCGCCTGCCGATGCAGGGGACGGGTTTGTGCCCCAGTCCGGGAAGATCCCACATGCTGCAGAGGCGCTGCGCCCGTGAGCCATGGCCCCTGAGCCTGCGCGTCCAGGGCCTGTGCTCCGTGGCAGGAGGGGCCACAACAGTAAGAGGCCCATGTACCGCAAAAATAAATAAATAAATAATGTAAAATAAAATAAAATAAAGACTATTAGAAGAGACAAAGAAGGACACTATATAATGAACAAGGGATCGATCCAGGGGGGGGAGGAAAAGGCAGGGAACTGCTAAGGAGCATTTCACTGAGGAAAGGCTGCCATCACTGCCTCTTGCCTGAAGGGGAGAGCTTCCCAGAAGGAGGACACAACTTGTGGAAAGGCACAAACAGGGACTTCCCTGGCGATCCAGTGTTTAAGACCCCACACTTCCACTGCAGGGAGCATGTGTTCGTCCCCTGGTCAGGGAATTAAGACCAGGGAACGAGGCGCAGCCCCCCAAAAAAAGGAAAAGGCATCAACAAGGAATACCCTTCTGGTTAGCTCGGGTCCATATTCCTACATAACAGATGGCTGGTGAACTTGAGAGGGAAAGCAGGCCTCAATTAGGAGTCACCTTCACAGCAGAGATGGGGAACCAAGGAATGCAGATTCCAGCAATAGCCTCACTCTCTGAGTTGGGTACAGAGCTTGTCCAAATGCCTGGAAAAGGCCCAGTGGGGCTAGAGGCAGGGATGTCCACTTAGAAAGTGATCTGTTCCTTCGGGGATCGTGCCTTTACCCACTTAGGGAAGTCTACCCATTCCCTGCAACAGAACAGCAATGAGGCCCAGATCAATATGCCAGAGACTTGCTCCACATAGAAAATCTGTGGGGAGACTTCCTGAAACAAGGTTCCCCACCCTGAGCCGCCATGAGGTGCTGTGTAAAGGGGGACAGGTCCTTTCCCTGTGAGTTTCCTGAAGACAGGAAGCAAGACCATGACTCAAAATCAGCTGAGCACTTCAGCAATGGGCATGATTGCTAGGGCAGATGGACAGTCCACAACTGGGGTTATTGTAGCTCTGCTAACAATAATAGCTAACTCTTCTGGAGCACTGGTACCAGATACCAGGACAATGCTTCAAATGCATTATCTCACCAAAGCCTCCAGTGACCAGAGGAAGACACCAAGGAAAGAGCGTAAATAACCTGTCCAGCTCACACAGCCCACCAATGGGAGGACTGGGATTTAACCCCCATGTGTCTGACTCAGCCTGCACTCCTAACCCAACACTGCTGGATTTGGGCTTCAATGTTAAAGCAGCGGATCCCCTGCTGGTGAAGGAAGCAAGAGCATGAGGCCAAAGATTTCAGTCTATTTTGCGCCTGGCATATAAGAGGCACTCAATAAATATATGTTAAGTAAATGAATGAAGCCAATTCAAATGATATCTTATTCTAAATAAGCATCAGAAACCTGATGTTTGTTGCATTATCATGAATGGAGTTTTACTTTATCTTCATGTTTCTTAGCATAAACAATTCCATTCTTCAGGGGACCAGTTTAAGGTGACATATGGATGTGTACTGGAAAGGACCCAGCCCTGCCAATGATCAGCTAAATGACCCTGAGCTATTCACTTTGCCTTTCTTGGCTTGTTTCTTCACCTGAAAAATGAAGGGGTTGGAGCAGATCCATGTTTTCCAAATGCCAGTCATGTTCACTCAGAAGTCTACTAAGAACACTAATTCCTGAACCTCTAGATCGACTAGATCAAAAACCTGTATTTTTTTTTTCTTTTTTCTTTTTTTTTCTGCCATGTCACACATCTTGCAGGATCTTAGCTCCCCGACCAGGGACTGAACCCAGGCCCCTGCCAGTGAAAGTCCTGAGTCCTAACCACTGGACTGCAATGGAATTCCCAGAAACCTGTATTTTTAATAATCTCTGGATAATTCTACTGTGCAGCTGGACTAGATAATGCTCAAGTTCCTTCCAGTGCTAAATAGACAAGAGTCTAGATAACAAATATATCTGCTACATCAGCCATTTAAAATCATTCCTATAATAATTTCAAAATTAAAAGAAAACATGCCCGTAAGTGCTTCTACCTTAGACCAAATAACATCTATCGTCAAGAAGTCAAATTATTAATAATTACCATAGTCTTTCTCTACTGCCCCATTATTTCTGCTCTACCAAAACATACAGACCACTCATGGATTACAAGTACTACTGCATCAGAAGCTGTGTTGATCACCTTACCCAGATCACAGGTCCATCTCCAGGTCTTGCCTGTTGTTTCCAGATAGGTATCTACAAAATACAATAACTCTCCTAAGCCACAACTTCAGTTAAACCACTACTAAATTCTTTAAAGCAATACATACATGAAAAGTAAAATATTTCTAGGCAACCAACAATCAAGGTGAAAGAATGAATGGATAGGAAGAAACCCAAATCCTTCCAAGTGTCCTTAACAATGAAAGAGCAATAATTAATTACAAGATGTTTTCTGGAGAATAGAAAGAGACCTAAACTAGGAATTGGAATTCCTGGCAAGTTCAAATCTTGCTTTCCCACTTAATTATTCATGGGACCTCCCTGAGTCTCTATTTCCTCATCTATAAAACGGAGACAGCTGTCTGCACCTTGTCTACTTCACAAAGTTTCCACTGGGGTCAAACAAGATGATGCTCACAAAAGTGCTTTACAAAATATTAAGGGCTTACTTTTCTTAATACTTCATAGAAGTTTACTACAGTTCCATTAAAACTCCAGAATCAAAGAAACCTTTACTTCAGACCTGAGAATATGTGCCTCTAACTTAATTTAAAAATTAAGTTTAATTTAAAAAGCTCTAACTTAATACCTAAAGAAAGGGGATTTTATTTGCATAAACATACCATCACATATTTCCTTACCTGCAAGTAAGGGACTAAGCTCTAATAACTCAACCATGTCCTGGTAGGGAAAAAAATCTCATTCAAAAACAAACTTTAAAATGTTGCTGTATTTTATAAGGCACATTTTAGAACAGTGCTAAACCCTTGGTCTATTTAGCTTCTAATGTAATCCTAAATTTCCACAATCACTCCCCAACTTACCATTTTCCTCTCATTAGATATGAAGACAGCATAACACTCTTCTAAAGGATACTGGTTGTGGTTTTTGATGTATTCACAGAGCTTCCAAATATTTTCTTCACTGAAATAAAGTAATTGTTTAATCAATATAATTAAACAAGAACGCTCTATGTCTTTCAAATTTGCCCAAAAGACTACTAATCACATTTTTAAAAATTGGTAGAGACCTGAAACACCATCTCATCCAACAACTGGCTAACAGTTGAACCTTCTCAAAAACATCCCCAGCAAGGGACTTTGCTGGTGGCGCAGTGGTTAAGAATCCGCCTGCCAATGCAGGAGACTCGGGTTGGATCCCCGGTCCAGGAAGATCCCACATGCCGCGAAGCGGCTGGGCCCCTGAGCCATGGCCGCTGAGCCTGCGCGTCTGGAGCCTGTGCTCCGCAGCGGGAGAGACCACAACCGTGAGAGGCCCGCGTACCACAAAAAAAAACAACAATGGATGGATGTGAGGGACAAGAACTAACAGGACTGAGGTGGGAGACAGGGCAGAAGAAGCATGGTTTCACCCTTACAGAGGTTCCAAGTTCAGCACCACCACTGGCTAGATGTGTGACCCTGGGCAAACAACAGGCCTCTCTGTGGCTCAGTCTTTTCATGAGGAGAATGATAACAAAAGACCTATCTCCTAAGCATGGATGGAAGTACTTGCCACTAGGCCTGACATGCAGTCAGAACTGAACAAATGGTGAGCTCCATAGCATCGGTTTGGTGACCATCTGAAGGAGGGAAAAGTAGTTTTAGAGGGCCCTAAGGTTTTTTGTGCAGGGACTGGAAAGTGGGGTTAGAAGTCATTATTCAAGCAAGGGAAAGGCAGGTGTGGGAGTGAAAAGGACCAAGATAAGAGTGGTGATTCAGCCACAGAGGTGGCATAGGACAGGGGTGCAGTGTGTGGACTCCAGAGCCAAACTCTGCGTGTAAATCTCCATTCCTTCACTCACAAGCTATGTGGCCTTCGGCAAATTACTTGCATCCCTCGGTGCTCCAACGTGCTCACCTTTAAAATGGGGACAACAGTACCGACCTACTCGTGTAACTGTGGGGCTCACATGACTTCGCTGACATAAACGTCTCAGAACAATTCTTGGCATATATCAAGTGCTACGGGTAAATGTAACCACTATTATAATGACGACACGGCGGTTCAGATCCTGGTTTCTGGTACAAAAGGGCCTGAATTGGATTCCGGGCTGCTATTAGCTGGGTAATCTTGGTAATGTTACTGTAGGATCTCTGCGCTTTTCTCTTCCAAAATTAAGATGACCTTCACATCAGTGTGAAACCACGCAGGCTTCAGCAGAATAATTTCCAAAGGCTCTCTGCGGTCCACCCTCCGCCTCCAACTCCCCTTCCTGGCCGCCCAAGCCCTGAGATCTGCTGACAAACGTCCAAGCGAAAGGAGCCGGGCAGAAGTAACGCACCACCGACCCTACCAGTACTGGCGAATACCGCCCCCTCCACACCCAAACGCCCACGCTCGACTCAAGAAACAAGGGCTACCACTCCTGCTCCCTCCTCCCCGCAAACCGGAACACTCGCCCGCCAAGGCCCCCGGGGAGGGGCCGGGAAGAGGCGGGGCGCGGCTGCGACACCGCGGCCGAGCGGGCCAGGAAGGTGCCGGGAGCCGACCCAGCTCCCCCTCACCAGTAGCAGCTGTTGTAGACACAGGCGTCCCGCGGGGGGCTGGCCGGCTGGTAGTGGGCGGCTGCGGCGGCGGAGACGTCCCCTTCCATGGCGGGCCTCAGCACAGGCCTGAGGCGGACCGACTGGAAGAGCCCCGCGGGCGGGCTTCGGCGAAGGCGTCGGCGCACTCCGTGCAACGTGGGTTCGCGGGGCGGAGTGGGCGGAGCTCGAGGCCGCTGGTGGCGTCCCCGGGTGGTGGGGCCTGGGGCAGGGTAGGCGGAGCCTGGGCGAGCGGGCGCGCAGGATCCCCGCGCAAGAAGTTTGAGACGCGCGTTGCAGATTCCGGAAGGGTGGAGTCGGGGCGGGAGTTGGGGGCGGGGGGGTCAGTGGGCAGACGCTAGGTGCCCTGGGTTGGTGGGGTACGTCCTGTTGGGCGGAGCCTGGGCGGGGCGAGCGACGCAAACTCCCGGCGTGCGAAGCTTGGGACGAGGTGGGCGGAGCTCGAGGCGCGCAGTGCTGGTCCCGTGAAGGTGGAGCCTGGGCGACGTAGGCGGATCCGGGGTTGGGCGAGCGGCGTGAATTCACAGTGGGCGGAGCCCAGGGCGAGGAGGACTGCGTGGTTCCTGGTGGGCGAAACCCCCCAGTTGGGTGGGGCCAGGGGCGGGGCGGGCGGCACGTGGTCCTAGAGCGGCTGCGGCGCCAGGCTTGCTGGAGGTTTTGGGAACAGTGGGGTTGCAGTCAGCGTGGGGGAAAGGGGGTCGGCCGCTTGAGACACGAGTCAGGGGAGGGCTTGGAGTTGGTGAACGGTGCTTCATGAGTCTTCGAGGAGTCCGAGACCCTCTAACCTGTTGCCGGCTGTGGCAGATGAGACTCGGAAGACTCCACGTGTGCAAGTGAAGTAAGAGGACCTCTGTGTGAAAAACAAAGGTTTAGTTTGAGTCTGGTGGGGGGGGGGGGTAGCGGAGAGGATGATGAGGGAGGTTAATTCCAAATATATTGGCTCAGAAAGGTATGTTGATTTTTTTTAACATAGTAAGAACAGTTTTGAGAGGGTCCTCATGATATCCTTTTTGTTAATCATATATTTGTTTATTTGCTGGCAGTCTGGAAGGAAAGAGCAGATTGTTGCAAGTGTTTATCGCTGCGTGCGCCACAATTCCTGAGCCTGCGCGCTAGAGCCCACGAGCGCGCCTAGATCCCGCGCTTTGCAGCAAGAGAAGCCACTGCAGTGAGAAGCCCGCGCACCACAACTAGAGAAAACACGTGTGCTGCGATGAAGACCCAACCCAGCCAAAAAGAAAAAACTTTTTTTAAAAAAGTGTTTATCTCTGGTTAATGAGTGGTATGGAGGACTTTCACTTTAGATTTATATCCTTCTGAATGTTTAAATTTGCAAGTGACATATATAGCTGATCAGGGTATTTCCCATTATCAAAACTTAAATTGTTAGTTTATTTTATTGGTTTTTAGATTCTCTCAGTCTCATGAATTGTAAAGCCCAAAAGTCCTAAAGACTTTGAACATAAGTCATTGTGTCAGTTATCAGTGTATTGCCTCTCAGGTCCAAATACATACTTCAACATAGGCTCTGTGATAAAAAACGGAATTCTTTTAAGCATTTCTTCTTTAAAGTGAGCACGATGTTAAGCCTTCTCAGTTAAGTTCGCTGGAGGAAGAAGCTTCCTGCAGTTTCTGGGACCTGACCAGAGTTAGGAGTGTGGTTAGGAGAGACCGGACCAGAGTTAGGAGTGTGGTCATGAAAACATCCAGTAGGGTCCGCTCCAGCCACAGACCCAAACTCGGTCCTTCTGCAACCTTGCAGCTTCAGCCTGGCAATAACCTGTAGGCAGCCCTCTTTACACAGAAACCAGAGCCCTGCGAGGCCTGCAGACAACTACCTGCCCATTGTCCTTCAGCAAGACTTTTGGGGGGCAGGGTCACACACTGAGCAGTCCTTCCGCCCCCCACCCCAGTATTCCGCCCAGGCCTCTTGAAGGCCTTCTGTCCCTGCTGGCTCCCAGATTCCCGTGGCTTCCCACAGGGCCGGTTGGTGATTGCTCGCCTCCACCCGCTTCTCTGCCGTCTGCCTAGCAACTCCAGACTGCCTGCAGCCTGGCTAAACCAGCAAACTTCTCTGCTGTCTGGTAGCCAACCCTTGCTTGCTCCGATATCCAGACCCCTCTCAAATTTGCCCTTGCATACTCTCCCTCAGCCCTAGTTACCATACAGTTTCCTTTTACCTTACAGTTCACTTTTATCATAGTTAATTCTTGATATTCAAATTCCCTTGTTTAACCTACCATGTGGTTTCTTCTTATTGGACCCAGACTACTGCAGAACTTTGAAGCCAAACTAGGTAGGTTCTACTACTTACTATTTGTGTGACCTTGGGCAAAGTTACTTCACCTCTCTATGCCTCAGTTTCTTAATCTAAAATGAAGTTAATGATAATAACACCTACCTCATAGGGTTGTTATGAGGGTTGACTAAATTTATATATATAAAGCAGTTAGAATATGTGCTGACACATAATAATAAATGTTAGCTGGGACTTCCCTGGTGGCGCAGTGGTTAAGACTCCGCGTTCCCAATGCAGGGGGCCCGGGTTCGATCCCTGGCCAGGGAACTAGATCCCACACGCATGCTGCAACTAAGGAGCCCACCTGCTGCAACTAAGACCCGGCACAGTCAAATAAATAATTTTTTTTTAATTAAAAAAATGTTAGCAACCACAATTTTTGGTATAATTTCACTCCATTATCTCCAATATACCGTATACTCCTGTCACTGAGTGTCTTACTACTACTCAGACACACTAAAACTTTGCAAAATGTATACATATCTTCTATCTAATGTGTGCTCTTTCACTTTCCTTACTTGCAGCTTTTCCCAAGGAAAGTTCATTGCTGCCTTCCATTTTTGCACAGCTTTTTTTTTTTTTCTGTTTTGTCATGACTTTTTAGTCATATGTCTTCAATACTATTATCATCTTAAGTAACTCAACCTGACTCTACCTCTGCCATGAGCAGTTCCATGACACGGTCTTGTCTTGAGAGGTGAGACAAAATAATAGCTCCAGAGTCAGAGACTAGCTCAAATCCTTTCTCAGCTACTTCCTATCCTGTATGACCTTGGACAAGTCACCAGCCTTTCTGTGTGTCAGTTTCTTTGTAAAATGAGAGTAATAAAAGTCGAGTATCTACCTAATGATGCTGTAGCGAGCATTAAATAAACTAATCTGTGCAAAAAGCATAGTACCTGGCACAACAGAAGTACCCTATGTAGTAAACAACTACAGAGTTTTGCAGTTATGATTATTATCATTATATTTCTCTGAACAGAGTATAAGCACTGTGACTGGGATAAATCCTTGTTGAATTAATGACTTTGTTTTATTAGGATACAGGTGAGGTTACTGTCACAAACTCAAAAATGTAGTGGTTTAAATGAGATACAAATGCATTTCTCATATAACACCCTGAACATTTACATTCTAGAGCTGATGTAGTGTCTCCACCGTGTCTGTTACCCAGGGTCCTGAGATTTGGATGGAAAGCCATATCTAGAGTGTTGCCCTGGTCCACATATTTCAAGAATGCTCACCACAATATCTGCTATAATTGCATGCTGGCCAGCAAAATCAAAATCCACAAGTTGTACACATCACTTCTGCTCACATTCCACTGCCTAAAAGATAGCCACAAGGTCACACCCAGGTGCAAGGGAGATCAGGAAACGTAGGGTTTATTTTGGGCAGCCCAGCTAACATCTGAGTATGTCAAGCAGAAGGAGGGAATGAATATTGAGAGAGCCAGCAGTCTCTGCCATAATGTGCTTTCTTTGTGCTTCTAGACTTTGTCTCATAAGCAGGAATTACTCTTTAAATTGGAAAAAATAGATCATATTTTTAAAATACATACAATTTCATGGTAAAGTCTATAAAAAAGGATATGGCTATAAAAAAGGAGTAGGAGGTGCATAGACCCAGATTCTGACCTACAAATCCCAGTGAACTGGCTGTGGAAGAAATAAGAGATGTACTCACACAAGCCAACACCCAGTGAAATCAGGATGTTAAAGGGCAGGGGTTTGGAGGAGGAACACATAACAAAGGAAAATATTAAAAAGGGCCATGGATGTGAAAGGGGAGATTCAGGAAGTCTATAGCACACAATACAGTCAGGTTTAATAGCAAAAAGGGCTTTTATTTTTTATTGGGGGAGGGGGTATTTTATGCTCAATATCAAGAGCTAGAAGAAAAAGATATTCCCACTGCTTGAGACCACATGATACGATAATGATCAGACAACTGAAAGAACATAGAAATACCTAATATCTGTCTATTTTGCTTGCATTTTCTATCAAAGAAAATGATCCTCAAACTGTAAAGAACAAAGAAAATAGCAGTAAGAAGAAATTAAAAGCCAAGATAGGTGCAGTGGTAGAAATCACCAAGTTGCCTTAAATGGGTTAAAAATCTTTAGACTCAAATGAGTTACATTCTAGCATACTGATAGTGCTTTAGATTATGACCCCAAAGCCTTTCTTAAGGATCTTTGAGAAAATATGTTGGAAGAGATAACATAAGACTAAATATGAATAGTTGCTGTCTTCAGTTTCATAAAAGGAAAAATACATATATTCCAGACAGTATACCCTGATGAACTTGATGTCTAGTCCCAGGATGATTTGTGACCATAAAAAAAAGGTGATTATTTAGAGGCCTCTACTGGTTTGCCAAGCCCACTTCATGCCAAATGGACCTCATTTCATGCTGCTGGAAGAATTATTTGATCGTTAGAATAGGATTATAGCACAAACAGTATAACTTGATTCCCACAAAGCAGCTGTCCCAGTTATACTAGTCATGACTCAATCAGTTAAAAGTCAAGGGAAGAGAGGCTGTTTACTAGCCCATTGTACAGGAAGGACATTGAAGTGCCCCTCACAGTTAAAGGATGAGCTGCGGAAACCAGGGTGTCAAGGGACCAGAAGCAGAACTCACTTCCCCAGGCATTCTTGCTCCCCGCTTTGTCTGCTTCTCAGTGCTTGGCTTCATTCTGAGGTCACTTCACTTCTTGCTGTGGGAGGATGGCTCCTGGCAGCCCCATTTCGTACTTTCCAGGCTTGACAACCCTAGTGGAAAGAGAAAACATCTTTTTCCTCATGGC